GGGAGCTGACAAATCATCCGTCTTCTCTGAGAGCGGATGCCCATGAACCATGTGTCCCTGCGAAAACTGCCAGCTCAGCCTGAATGATTGAGCTGCTACCAGTGACTTGCAGAGCTGTAAAACGGAGGTGCTAGGTCTGGTATTGGAAGGCCACCAGGTGCTCGGGGGTTTTGGTGGACCCAAGAAAATTCCATTACCTCGCAAGAAGCCACAGCAGGGTGTGAGGACGCATGGTAGGGTGTGATTGGTACCCAGTAACTCTGTATGTCCCTGGCGGTGGCTCCCGCCCTTTGGGACTCCGCTAAGCCAGGGTTCCAGGTCCATCATTTCTCCCTGCATAGGTGCTCCCGGGTTTAGGCATCCTGGATTTTCCTGGTCCTTTGAGGTTCTTAATGGGAAAAACTGAAATCAGGACTCATTGATTTCCCTCCCAAGTGGGAAGGAATACTGAATTCTTCAATGAAAGTGGTTTGAAAATTACAGTTCAATGGCCCTTTTTAATGTTTAAAATTTTATTAATATCCTATGCATGGGTATATGATGGATGTCTGTAGAGGTCCTTGTGCTCACGTCTGCAGGTCAGAATACAAATGTGGAGTCCGTACATAGGATCCGGGGTCTGATTTTAGTTTGACGGCTGAATTGAGTTCGATTGCAGAGCTGTAAAACGGAGGTGCTAGGTCTGGTATTGGAAGGCCACCAGGTGCTTGGGGGTTTTGGTGAACCCAAGAAAATTTCACTACCTCACAAGAAGCCCCAGCAGGGTGTGAGGATGCATGGTAGGTTGTGATTGGTACCCAGTAACTCTGTATGTCCCTGGCGGTGGCTCCTGCCCTTTGGGACTCCGCTAAGCCAGGGTTCCAGGTCCATCATTACTCCCTGCATAGGTGCTCCCGGGTTTAGGCATCCTGGATTTTCCTGGTCCTTTGAGGTTCTTAATGGGAAAAACTGAAATCAGGACTCATTGATTTCCCTCCCAAGTGGGAAGGAATACTGAATTCTTCAATGAAAGTGGTTTGAAAATTACAGTTCAATGGCCCTTTTTAATGTTTAAAATTTTATTAATATCCTATGCATGGGTATATGATGGATGTCTGTAGAGGTCCTTGTGCTCACGTCTGCAGGTCAGAATACAAATGTGGAGTCCGTACATAGGATCCGGGGTCTGATTTTAGTTTGACGGCTGAATTGAGTTCGATAGGTTTGGAAGCAGGAGCCTTTATGGACCAAGCCATCTTGCAGAGGCTGCAACCTCCTCTCTCTTATGTATCAATGGGGAATTCAAAGCTTCCTAGTTTGCTCTAGTGGTCCTCAGATGAGCCCTTAGGGCCAAGGGAAGTTCTGGTATTATCTTCTTCTCTCCAATGGTTTTCAGACTTTCCCCACAGCACTGGGGTGGGGCTAGATCTTCCCCCTTCTTCCCACAAGGACTTGGGATCCGACTTGCTCCAAATACCAAAACCTTAGAGCAAGTAGCAGAGCTGAGACCCCAAGCCAACTGGGACACCAAAACGAGAGAGAGACTTGTCATTTGTTTCCAGATCTGAGCAGCTGAGACTGAGGGTGTGACATGGCTGGGGCTGTCATCCAGACCCTTGACATAAGACTCACACTTCTGCCTCGACTGCCCCACATTCCCTGTAACCTATGGACGTGCTAGTTTCTGATGAAGAATTGGAAGGTGATGAGGCAGTGGATGGAACACACTCCACTGTGCAAGGTGTGTCGAAACCTTCTTTTCAAATCCAAGGGAGGGGTTCTGGAACTTTCGTACTCTTCCCAAACAGGTAGTTTCTATCTGTGAAGATAAAGGCCCAGGTTTCTACCTTCTGCTCCTGGAGGCTCTGACTTTTCGTATGGGACATAATTTCTTCATAATATCCATGTCTGTGGAGGCATGCCTCAGAGCTTTGCCCTTTAACCTATGGAGCCCGTTATGACCACTCTATCAGGAAAAAAGACAACAAGACTGCATTTGTGGGCATCCAATGGGTCCCTCTGACCAAGAGTTTATCAGACAAAAGCTTCCTGACCAGTGGGGCCTTTGAATTCCTCCTGCAGCCAAAGTTACCTCAGACCTACCCCATTTAGGAGGACTTTATCTCACCATCACCATCCAAGATGACCTCATTTGACTAGAGTATTCAGAAACTGTCCCTCTGCCTAAAGCGACCTCACACCTACGCAGTGTGACTAAAGGATCTAGACTGTTGTCCTTCTCTCCAAATGAAATATTGGTCCACTCTGGTTTTGAACCCCCAGAACCCAAAACCAGCATAGACAGTGTGGCACCCAAGTTATCTGCCACCAGTCCCATCTTCTGAATTGAAACAGCTCCAACCTTTGTCCCAGGACCTGGACAGCATAACACAAATTTGAGGAGCCTTGAAGGTGTGACATGCATCTAGACTGTTGGAACAGGTTTCAGATTGCAGCTTGGACTGGGGTTCTGTAAGATCAGAGACCTCACTATTTGTCAGAACCCCACGGCAGGATTCTTCTGCTTAATGACTCCCCAAATGTATATCATTTAACTGAGGGCACTTGTGATCTTCCCACACTGTATCAGTGGGCTTAAACCTTCCCCTGTGCCCTATGTAGCCTCAATCTTACTCTATATAAGTAACCAGAACTTAACCTCCATCCTCTGACTAAGGGTGTCTGAGAGTCTCACACTCTTACCATGCCGAGAGGCCCCGGAATTTTCCCTTCTCGACACCATAGAGTATTAAAAGCTCCCTGTCTGACAAAGGAAGTCTCAAACCTCACCTTCTGATCAACATCTGTCTAGATATTCCTCTGACACAGGGGGCCTGAGATGTGCAACTTCTACTTACTGTGGGTCCTTACACCTACCTCTTCTATTCAGTATTAGGTCTGTGCCAGGTATTATCCCTCAAAATGGTTTGAGACCTTCCCATTCTGCCCAATGGGGTCAGAAATATGCTCCGTCTAACTTAGGGGACCACAGACTTTCCTCCTCTGACCAAGACTGATCAGAACTTCCCCTTCGGCCAGTGTGGTCTCAAATGTGCCCTTCTAAGTAAAAGAGCCTGAGAAATTTCCCCTTGCCCAAGTGAATCTCAGACTTTTCCCATCTGTACATGGAGTCCTTATGCACATTCCATCTCATTACAGAGGCCAGACATCCACCATATCTGCACAAGGTGAGGTTGGAGCCATATATTCTACACAAGAGGGCCTGGCACATTGGCCCTCTACATAGTATATCTTGACTTGTGCCTTCTTCTGAGGAAGGGAGAGAGGTTACTACTATATGTCATATATATAAATTTATTATATAAATTCAAACTAAAATTTGAATACTTGCACAATAATTCATTATAGCTAAAATTTATAGTTGTTCATTTACCTACTACATGAGTATCCCTTAAAATATGTAGTTTATTAACAAAGTGAAAAACAATAATTTTGAGCTGTTAATAGATATGTTAAGAAGCTCAGTCTCAAATGTCAAGTATTTGTTTTACTGTTTTAATATTTAGTTTAGTAATTTAATAATAAATGGAGACAGAGGGAGTGAGTTAGAGAGAGAGATAGAGAGAGAGGAGAGAGAGAATAGAGATAAATAATGCTTAGTTGGGGTGAAAACGCAGTGAAAAACACATAAAATATCTGAACATGAGAAACAGCGCTAGAGAGGAGAAACCTCCCTTTGAGTTGTTGGTCAGGGTAGCCCAAGAGATTCCCCAAATTACCCAAAATTACAGAGGCTATTGCCACAGACT